TACTGATGGAAAAAGCTGTCGGTATAGATCATTGGCCTATGGGTGTATACAGACGGATGTTTGAGTTTTTACCAATGAAATTACTTGTCTGTAAATATGAGGGTCTACACAGACAAAATTTTTTTTAAGATTTCTTAGGGTCTATACCAACGGATAAGTATTCCATCGGAATAGATCCTAAGGTATATAACATCGGACAAAATCTTCCATCAGAATAGATCCAAGGGTCTATACAGACGGATTAGGCGTTGGTATATACCCTATACTGACAAGGTTTCTACCGATTGAAAGTTGGTTTATTGGAATAGTCTTGGGGGTCTATACCAACAGAAAATGGGTCTATACAAACGGAAAACTTCCGTCAGTATAGACCCATCTCCTTGTAGTGTGTTCAAGTATTTAAGTGTAAGAAATATATAAATACATGCAGCAAAGAAGGGAACTACCTTGTGTATTGAAGGGGACGATGCATATGGATATTGGTTGTGCCCTTTTTGGTTTGTTGGCCATGGCGAGTGCTAGTACATCACTGTTGTACATGGCTAACATTGCGCTAGAGTAAAGAACAAGTGATATAGGTATGTGCCATGATATCGTTGTCTCGAGCCAAGCATCATTGGTTGACGATACCTATTAACACGTAAAATATAGAAAATATATGTTATAAGTTGGGATTATCAACGATCAGTAATTTTGTCCATTTGTATATAAGAATGATAATGTGCATGATCGTCAGCCATGTTATATGAGTATTGTAGGGTCAGCCATGAATAGCTTCCCTATAACCAAAGAGACAATAGTGGCTAGCTTTACCCATGGCTGGAGCGTGAACTATGTGGAATCGGAGGAGCATTCTGATTGATCTGCCAAGTCATGAAGGGCTAAATCTCACTAAACCAGACTTCGTCATAGTGATGATTATGAGATAGAGAGAGGTGGAGTTGTCTCTATAGAAGGGGGACGCTAACTGCAACCATGGCCTCCGATACGATAAGCTGTGATACCACTAACAAACGTTGGCCCTTCTTCTCATACCCGCACCGTTAGAGGATGGTCCTGGTTGTTGTTGCCTGCCAGGCATTGCCCCACCATGCACAAGTGACCACCAAGGGACCGTTGGCCGCTACTTGATGGGTTTTTATCGTTGGAGGGTAACCATCCCCTTCGATTGTAAGGTTAAAACTATTACCGACCTCATGCTGATTGTACCGAGTTGCACTGACTCTTTGTCGGTTTTCAGGAGCCAGTGGAATAGAATATGTAGAGATCCGACCCTTTGTCCATTACTGATCTGACCCTTTGTTCATTATCGGGAGCTAGTGTAATTAAGATATGTAAAAATGTGTAGCCTTTTGTCCTTTGCTACAGGTTACATGAGATAGCAAACCTGGCCCTTTGTCCATCGCTATGAGTTGTGTAGATGTAGCTCACTGTCCATTGATGGGAGCCATGTATAGCGAAGTTGGCTCTTTATCCATTATTGGGAGCCACAAGATGCAGCAGTGAGTATCGCTGTTAGAGGACATGACCATAAAAAACGTCCACCCATATTGCTGAAATAAACCTAGCCATGTCTAGCCATATATGTAGAAGTAAATGCTGAGGTGGGCTGTATCTTGCAATGTTTCTGGCAAAGTGCATAAGTGCCATTTTTGGTGATGCTGATTCCATTGCAGTAATCAGTAGAAAATAGGAATTGCGTATCCGACGTGGAAAATAAGTGCTATGGGCCTCTGCTGATGTGGACACGCATATGCCATTAGTTCTATAGCCATACAAATTCATCCCTCAGCAATTCTTAAAATGGGTAAGGAAAAGTTTGGGAAGAAGAAGACTATTTCATGTATAACCTATCATCTGATATATTAAAAAAAAAAACTTCTAAACCAACTTATTCTAGTGAACTGTCAACAATTTTGGAGACCAATCACCAATCTAACTGGTTCTATTAGTTGATCCGGTTCGATTTTGAAACCAATAGGACAAAATCAACCTCCACCTGTTTCCTACAACTTGAGATGCCAAGATTTCGATGAATGTTCAATGGTCTCAAATAATGCAATATAATTTCACAATATGAAGTATTAATGTTTATGTAATCCTCTTCATCATCATCCGCTTCTGAAATTCAGAAATCAAGATCAATTCTCAAGGACCACGTTACGCTTGTACGAGCTGGGGGTTGAAGAATCAATCCTTTACCTTTAGTTATATTCTTAATTTAGGCATAATATGTATTGGGAGAGAGATATAGATTGGCACGACAGATGCGTTGCTGTTTATAAATTAATCATACATCCAGAATGATGTAATATCCATCTTAAAAAGCGAAGTTTCCGGATTAATTTAAATGAGGTTGTTACATAGATAGAGATTATAGAAAAAGAAACTGTTATGATAAGATCATACGTAAGGCTAATATCTCACATTAATTTCTTATTTTTTAAATTACAATTTTGCTTGAGGAGATTGAACAAGGTCATTAATTTGTCGCGGTCACGTGCACTACCTTACAAATCACATTAATTGTTCTTGAGGTAATGCAATAGGGGTGTCACGGATTTGCCTAAGGTGTAACATACACTCCTTTTTGCTACTTATTGTCTTTGTTGAGTATTACTTTATTATTGTTTAAAATGTCATGCGAAGTAGTTTTAATACCATATTTAACGATCTAATTCATTATTAACACTATTTATTCTATAGAATACATAGTTTTAACTTGGTTTATTAGATTTCAGAGTTTTAAAATACATAGTTTCATACATTAGTTGGATATATACCCAACAATATGAGATTTATTTAAGGTGTCATGCTTGTAATGGTTAGATAAATGTTGTCCATGCTACTCTTCCCGTTCCTGACTTACAATAAAATGCAAAACCAATGATTTGTTAATTCAAGTGAAAGGAGTTTGGTTTCATTAAAAAAAGTTTTGAGTTCGAATCTTATGAATGGATAAATAGACGCTAGAAGAGTTTGTCCTTAATGGAGTCCAACTTTGTTTTACTCTAAATTAATTAAGATCTAATGCAACTTACAGATGCTGAGAGTTAATAAAAAATATATATATAACATAGAAAGCAAATGCAAATCAATGAACGGGGATGCATCGGTTCCATGGCAAAAGCCTACTTTTAACCCCTCACCTTACTAGATTTGTAGGTTTTATCTTATCACCTTATACTATGACACTCTTAGCCCCTCACCTATTAAAATTAAAGAAAATAACCCTCACTTTATAACATTTTGTTAGTTCTGTTAACTAATTGTTAACTTTATTAACTAACTGTTAATTAACTGTTAGTTGACAAAAACTTTCTTTTAGCTAACAGAGTTAACAGAACTAACTTTATAATATTTCGTTCATTCTATTAACTGACTATTAGTTGACTGTTAGTTAATAAAAACTTATTTTCAGCTAACTTTTACTTTCAGCTAACAGAAGTAACAGTCAGTATAAAATGAGAGTTATTTTTTTCGATTTTAATATGTGAGAGGCTAAAACCTACAAATCTAGTTAACAGAACTAACTTTATAATATTTCGTTCATTCTATTAACTGACTATTAGTTGACTGTTAGTTAATAAAAACTTATTTTCAACTAACTTTT